AAAAAAATATGTTTTTGAATTGGTTTTAAGATCTGATGTCTGTATTTTAACGTTCATTGCTTGAAAAAGTGTACTATGTAGGTATGATGTATTACAAAATTATTATAATAGTTCATCACAGATAAAATATATGTACTTATCTTTTGATATGTCGTCTGTTTAACCGCATTTTCTAATATAAATACAGTGATCATCTTCAAGGAAAATATTCAGTGTTTTAAACAAACATTGAAACTTTATATTATAGAGTGAAGCTAAATGCCATCTCTTCCCCAGTAAAAGTCCCATGTCCTATGTCTTTCTACATTAAACAAAAAAACGAATCCATTTTACCGATTACAGATTAAATACAAGGTATTTCAATCCATTTTTTTTCAAAACCTGAAAAATCCGTTTTCCTAAAATTCGTCATCATGGTCCTATCTAACCTACCTACACCTACTGTAGGTTAAAACAAAGATACTATAATAAATTAACAATTATTTATCGATGTTGAACATGAGGATTATCACTGATATAATGAAAATATTGATACTTATCTCTGAGTCATTTTGGTTGACATACGTGTTACCTAATAAGGGTTAAAAAAAGTTTTATGCCCGTTTTCACCAACAGCCCCTAAAATTTAAGTGTCCCTTAAGCCAATATAAGGGACACTTATCGCGAGTTTTGTTTTCACCAACGTTTAAGTGTCACCTATATCATTAGGGGTTCCTTATAATTTAGGGGATGAATTGACGACCCCGTAACGTTTAAGTGACACATAGTGTTAGGTTGTTTTGCGAATCACCAAACAGTATTTTATCCTACTGAATAAGATAAAAAATAATAAAAATTGATAATAACCACTATTTATTTGAAGATTTTAAGCAATTGAAGATATGGAATTGTTAAGTAACCGACATTTGTATCTTAGACGACCTCGTATTTATCGAGAAAGATCGAAAGATTTTGAAAAATATGATGAAAAAGACTTTTTCATAAGATACAGGTTCCCTGCTCAACCTTACTTGTATTTAAAGAAATAAATCTCTGGCACCGATTAACCAATTACTGTGTGCCCTTAGATTTTATGCAACAGGCAATCAATTATTATCTGTAGCAGATCTCAATCCCATCAGTGTATCTACTTGCAGTAGAATTATAAAAAGAGTGTCTGACGCTATCGTGGGTCGTGGCAAAGCGAATTCATACAATTTCCAGACACCGAAGAAAAACAACAAATAGTAAAAGAAGAATTTTACAGAATAGCTCGATTTCCAAATGTTTTAGGATGTATAGACTGTACATACATAAAAATTCAATTATAAGGTTGGGCGTTTAGAGAAACACAGGTCCTTACGAGTAACCATTTATTACTGAATCTCCTATGAAATAATACATGATTTAATAAGATGGATAGACACGCACACATACAGATACGGCAGATCTTTGTGTCATATTTATTGAGCCTCCAGCGAACACCGTCGTTCGCACACCTATCGTCTTTCTATGATGTCTCTAATAATGATATTCAAAAGTCTTTTGATTGTATTAACTAGAAACTTGTTTACATTTATTTATGTGATAAATTATAGGAGGAGATGATGCCGAACTATTCCGGAATAGAAAAAGCAGTATGTCTATTAGTATGCAAACAATAAGTACTGCAAAATTATTAATAACTGATGTGGTAACACGCTAGCCAGGATAAACAACATTCTTTATCTTCAAGTGAAAAATTTTGACCACGTTTCCTCTTTTCTGCCATTGTAATTAATAAAAATTTGGTATTTTTTGAAAATACACGAAATGATTGAAATGAAACTGTCACTGGATAGTGGCATCAAAATGTCACCGGCACCGCGTCTTTGTAAGCTATGGCATTCAACATACAGCCAAAAAATAAAAACACAACTTTTTGTTACTAATCTAACATTCACCAGTTCAAGACTCTTCTTTTCGAAATAAATTGAAGTTAGAAAAGTTAATTACTTGTTTTAAGGTTGTGTATTTACGAAAATAACAATAGAATTGTCTAATCGATTCATTTATCGATAACTGTTTGCATAGTTCCTCAACACTAAACGTCACCTAATTAGGGGGCTCTTAGTTAGGTGACACTTAGGACAGTGAAACAAAATTTAAGTTAAGGGATGATTTGAACGGTCCCCTAAGTTAAGTGGCCCTTAGTAAGGTGACTGTTTAGGGGCTGTTGGTGAAAACGGGCATTAATCATGTTCTCCATATTTAAGACTTAATAGAGTTTCAACTATGACGAAGACATCAATTCAAAACTTACTAAAAAAAACTACATTTTAGGTTTTAAAGTTGAAGCCATTTAGACCATTAAATTAAATATGTTGTGGCGGCATGAGGGTGAAAAACCTAGCACGTACGTGCTAGCTTCACTGTGATCTTCTCCGAGCTATATGTACTTCCTATAAATATTTAGACACCAAGGAAAATAATATGAGGAAACTTGGACTTATAATTTCTAATTATAAGTTTGAAATCGCCAACTGCCTTGAGAAGCGTGCAAGTTAAAAGTGTCAGTCTAACCTCTAGTGAAGCTTTTTGCTAGTTCGAAAGTGTAGACTCCTAGGGAGAAGAACGATCAAGTAACTCCATGGTTGCTCTTTTTCAATCAGTTTCATAATTAATTTCTTTGTTACATTATGAAATCAGTTCCATTATCATTCTTTTTATCCTTACGCTGTAGGCGACTACAGTGTACTGACAGGTAAGGATATAACGATGGTGGTTTTAAACTGCTATTAAAATAAATGACATTACATTCGAACCAGTGCCATCGACACCGTTGCATGTTAATATAATTACATGAGTGCATTAGTTTACTTTTTATAACAAAAACCATTTTTCACCAACTAAGCGACATTTCCGCGATCAAGCATTAACATTTTACAACGTACGAAAAAAAAACATCAACAACATGGCGTTAACAATAAATCGCACTCACACACGCGCAATACATATTTTTAATTTGTTAAAAGCTCTCAGAAAAATAACAATCTGAATGCATCGCCTGCAATTTGCGGCAAGCCTCGCCTTTTATAATTAAAATTGCATTAAGCCTGCAAATAGTCCGACGTTAATGACGCTAATGCTCTGTTTGGATAGAAAAAAATGCAGACAGACAGTTTGTAATCCAATTTGCGGCTAAAAATGCCTTAATTCGATTGCAGCGCATAGTGTTCCTGTGTTTGTCTTACGAATGGCAGGTTGACGCCAAAATAAGGTTAATAAGTGCCTTTTATGAATACGTTTGGGCGCTTTGTTCTATGGTTTTTCGATTCGACTTGACTTTTGTAGGGACTTACAGTATTTGACTGCACGGTTGGCGCGGTGGCTGGGCAACTGGCTGCCGCGCAACGTGTCGCGGGTTCGATTCCCGCACGGAACAACTCTTTGTGTGATCCACAGATTGTTTTTCCGGGTCTGGGTGTGATGTGCATGTGAAATTGTATGTTTGTAAACGCACCTACGACCCAGGAGAAAATTCTAGTGTGGGGCAACGTTTTAAAAAAAAAAAATATAGTATTTTGGTAGATGCTACGTATGTTTTATCTGCAACGTACCATATTTTAGCACTAAGATTATAAACATAACTATATAATTTTCGCAGACGATGAAAGAACGCAATCATCATTCTGCCTTTATTTATAATATTATTTGTATTAGAAAGTGAAGACGTAAAAAAACTATGACTAAATCATCACAAATACACATTGCCAAATTATAAATCAAAGCCCGAAATTATATCACATAATTATGAGCTAACAATAGAACGCCTTTCTTTACATTTATTGGGGTCCTATTGAATATTTGGCACTGCCATAAATTCGAGCATACTGTCGGGGCGTAACAATGAATCTAAATAACCATTAATATGTAATAAATACTATAGGGTGATAAAGCCGTGTCGGTAGGGAACAAACAAACAAGTGTAGGAGCAACCCTTAAACGCTGGGCATTGTTAAAAGAGGCCCGAGCGTGAAATATTTGGAGGGGTCGGCCGATGACGAAGTCACTGCCGAATTCTGCCGAAGTTTTCCGATCAGTTCCGCTCCAAATGCCGACAGCTGCTGCGTTTCAGATGGGGGTCGCTCTTCATTAGTGGAGCTTGTCTCGGCTCGAGATGGATGTTTGTTTTTGGACAGCATGAGGTGTTGATGGCTACTTGATGATGTATGAAGTTCATTCTGTGGGACATCGTATCGAATCTCGTTTTAGAGTTTTCTTTTGAACACGTGTAGTTCAGAGTCACTTTTTTGTTATGGTTGTTCGTGGGAGTTATTTATTATTACTATAAAAAAGGTATTTAGAACAACATTAATAATAAAGTTGATCGATAAAATCAGCAGTATTTTGTCATATTTATTGTTGCAGTGTATCGTGTGCATCATAATTAAACATGACTTTAAGGATGTCCATGGCCAAACCATTGAGTACCTAAATCTAAACAAAAAGAACAAAAACATACAAACAAAATGTGCCTGAAGGCAGTATCAACCTTGTAACATCGAGACATAAGTACTATTGAATAACTAAATATCCATTCAATTCCAAATCCTTAATCAAACATTGAACAATACCAACAAAGCTAAACAAAACTGAACAGCAATAGTTGCGTTTAGTCGCGCCCGCGGATTAGTGAATTGTAAAAAAAGATTGGGGTCCGAAACGACCCGACGTGTTAATTACGGGGGTTGGGCTTCGAGGGTTGAACAGATGAAAGTCAATTTGCTCCAGCGACATGATACGGCCCATTTCGTTCGGAGCGACAAGTGTGGCACCTGCGCAGTGGGGTCTTTATGACCCAAACAATTGTAGGGTTAGATGCATTATTTGCATCACTTTCATTGATGACCACTTTTGTTTGATACAAAGGCTGAATGATGACAAAGGAATTGTTCCATTGCTATAATATTGATACAATTCTATACCCTCTTATCATAAAGTGCTGTAAAATTAAAATTATCTTTTTGTTTTGTTCACAGAGGAAATCAAATTCGGGATCAACCGTTTAGTCAGTGAGAGCATAGAAAGAACAGAGAGGACTGAAGACGAGGAAGAAGAACATCATAATGAGACTCGACCTGAGGGCATATCGCCAGCGTCGCGCTGCGGTAGTCCCTGTTGGGCGCCATCACCACAATCCCCGAGATCTGTTCGCTCCAGTTCCCTAGAACTCGAGGTGGACTCCCCTCCATCTTCCCCAAGAAGACCACCAGATACTTCCCCTCCTCCTAAAAGATCAGAAGCTTTTTCTGTGAGTGCATTGTTACGACCTGATGCCCCAAGAGTGCAACCTCAAAGACCATTTTTATATCCGCCGTTACCGTTTGCGGAGTTCCTAAGGGATGCTGGAAGCCTCGGCTTACCTGGTTGGGGAGGTTATAGTAACCTGTACCTTCATGCTGTTCAAGCAGCTGGCCCAGAACTTTTGAGACTTCGCGCAGCTGTCCTTGGAGCTCCTGGTCCTTTATCCAGGCCATTGCCATTGGGGGATGTGTACTCCTGTGTCAAATGTGAGAAGATGTTCAGCACTCCTCATGGTCTAGAAGTGCACGCCAGACGATCACATAACGGAAAGCGGCCGTTTGCTTGTGAACTCTGCAGCAAGACATTCGGACACGAAATCAGTTTGAGCCAACATAGGTGAGTGTCTAAAATGTATGTTATAATATAAAATAAATAAAAAAATTATTATTAAAAAAACAAAATACCCGACTGCACACTAAAAAAAGAGTAAAACAAGCCCCACAATACAAATTTACTGAATATAATTTATAAATGTTGATGGAAAGCATCGCAGGCGGGGACCAACAGAGGCTTATTTATAGTCATTTCTGTTGTGCACCATTTAGCAGAATTTTCGTTGGTGGCGGTCAAGGTGGTCCCCGCCTGCGATGCTTTCCATCAACATTTATAAATTATATTCAGTAAATTTGTATTGTGGGGCTTGTTTTACTCTTTTTTTAGTGTGCAGTCGGGTATTTTGTTTTTTTAATAATATTTTTTTTATTTATAACTTTTTAGCTGTTTTTTTAAAGGGAAATTTAGAAAAAATATTATTATGTCTTTATCCCGTGGGACTTTTAGGATAAAATGTATCCTATGACACTCCCGTAATCAAGACAAATCTAACGATACCTCATACATCAAAATCCATCAAGCCGTTTAGGCTACAGGAGGTCACAAAGGAAAAGACATACATACATACTTACATACACTCGAAAAACATTACCCTCCTTCTTTGGCAGTCGGGTAAAAAGTACGGCTTTTTGTAGTGAAATAGCTACAATCAACCTACCACCAATAATATTTCCCCTTCTTTAACAGGGCTGTCCACAGCGTTGAGAAAGTCTTTGAATGCAAGCAATGCGGAAAGACCTTTAAACGGTCAAGCACACTATCTACCCATCTTCTCATACACTCTGATACTAGACCCTACCCATGCCAGTACTGCGGAAAGCGTTTCCACCAAAAATCGGACATGAAGAAGCATACCTACATACATACTGGTAAGTACCAAAAAATATTTCATTTTTCGAATAGTAAAAACTATCACTTAATCAGATTGCGATAAAAAAGGCCAAAAATGTATGAAACCGCATAAAATTGGCAAGGTCACAAAGTAAAGCTGGCACGTCTTTAAGTCCTTTTACTAGAAACAAAGGACGAGAAATCCTTTAGCCACAACCGTTTCACTCCATGCTTTTAATATTTAATTTGGGCCCGAAACACTATTGTTAACACACAATCAAGCCTGGTGCGAAAGTGAGAACGGTCAAATGAAATCGTAATGGCACTTAGGTACCGCAAAGTCCCACCGAATCTTATCCGCGGACTAAGTGAGATACCAAACATATAGACCGCAGCATCTTACATTCATGAAGAGGGTTGAATATAGGGGCGAGAAGTTTGGCGCACAAATCGATAAAATGAAAACTGAACTCAGATGCTCTAGATTTGGATATCGCACGTGGATTAGTGCTTAGATTTTAGAACGTTTTTGCTCGTTATATTGGTGCTGCATTATAGAATTTGTACTGGATTATTAATTCATTGCGCTTGGTGATTGACCCTAGTGTGTTAGTGGTATTGTTATGATCAAAGAAATATAAAATTATCTAGTTAAAAGCAGCAATAGGTAAACAATTAATGCTACAACTGCGTATTTTAAGACAAGTTTTTACTTATTTCTATGTAAAGCGTTTAATAATTTTTGTTGTAAGTAGTCAATAATATCATATACAATACCTTTGAGAAATTCAATTAAATAGCACAATGCTTACTCTTAAAACAAAAGCTTTCCATACCAATCATCGTCACTTAAGATAATGCCTCTAAGATTATAACAGTATCAAAATTCTCGCTACCAAAATAACTCCTTGAATCCGCGCCCCATTCCTCCGGTCCCTATGTAGCTGTAACCCAATCGCTTCATAATGTAACCGCGACATTATGCGATTATTATAAAACAACAGAAACTCGTCTTACATTAATTATGTGGAGGGTTGTTTAAGATGTTTTGACAGCGTAACTCCCTGAATTATGTTGGATAAGTAAATGGACTCGGAAAACGTCGTGGTGAATTATTGTCTTGTAATTTTCGGTTTAAGTTTGTAATCCTGAGACTGTTGAGACAACTGAAACAGTGACTGGTAACTTTTGAAATATTAAGGTATTTGTGGATGGAACTGAATTATTAATATCGTGTCTCAATTTATTGAGTGTCAAAGCGTTGAACAATAAATAAACATCAATACGTTGAGTACTTGTCTAGTTATCGGAATCGGTGATCACTTTGCCCTCATTGTCTACCACAACAGCTGATCTATTATAAAGCAATTTGTCTAACAGCGGGGTTCACTCAGCACAGAGTAATTCATGTTCTTTAATCTAATATCAGTACTGTGACTATTGCCCTCTTGTTTTTATAAGTAAATTGGATGTACGTCTTTTTTCCTATCATATTTCATTGCACTAATTGTATCACCTTCTTGGATTTTAGCGGCAGATTCTAATTCTTATTTATCTTAACTTACGTGTTCTAAACTGCACACTGAAACAGACCCATACATACACCTATATAGTGGAAAATTTCCCTTGTAGTTAAAAAGACGTTCCTTTCTACCAGTACCTACAACTCTCCCCAGTTCATTTAAGATAAGGGTGGGGGCGATATTCCGTGATTCAGACGCATAGATTCGCCGTTTTCATTGCTTTGACAGTGAGTGCGAGTGAAACAGCATTACATTTTACAATATGTGCGAAAAGGATGTAATAGAAGGGTTGGGTTAGTTATTGGGCACATGTTTCTGGTATAGGGTGGTCTGCAGATAGTGATGAATAAATTTTCATCTGAAATATTCTGAAGGAAATTTTAAATTGCATCGAGTTTTTTATTGTATGTTGAAGATGCAAACATTTTTAAAACCTGATAAATCAATCAAACATGAAAATTATTATTATCAATGGTGCATTTAGAGAAATCCAAAAGACTACCCCTAATAAACAAAACACCCACCTCTTTTATTACAGTACCCATATCACTCGAAATCCTTTGTCCAAAAATTCCACGTACCTCCATTTACAACGATACGAGCACAATCCCTCCTCTATCCTAAACGTTACTAGTCTCAGCAGCAAATAAATTAAACCACGCATCACACCTGATCTCACCCTAAACCTACCCCCGACGAGTAAATTATTAACGATATCAACTTAGCAAATAGTTGGATGAACGGTATTTTAATCAGCGTCCCAACTTCTTGATTAATGTGCCCCAACAACAATTTATCGTTGAAATTTTATTTATAATTACGCCAGCTAAATTAAACGGGTGATTAGTCAACGTCGAGGACTGGTTCGCGATTTGTCACCTCTAGTACTGAATTTGAGTGTAATTGGGCCCCTGAAGTTTGTCTTTACCTGCAGCTAGCAACAATTTTGGAGTTTCTAGTTTCGTAGTTCGGACTATTAATTGGGAAGTTTAATTATTCATGGAGTTCTACGTTACTTGTGTTTAGGATTCCTTTGTTTATATATCGTATATGTATTCATGTCTATGTTCATCAGTTAGGTACAAAAAACACAAGTAATTAGGATTATTCGATAATCATGTTCCGCATAAAGATAAAAAGAGGCCCCATTGCATTGCCCTGTGGCACTCCTCTTATTAGGCACTTATCAAAACTTTTCTCATCATAAAATTGGCTGCCCATTAACAGAGATTAAGAAAATAAAAATTAAAAAAAGAGGAAACGTGTAACAGAATTACGCAGACGTCTCTCACTCAAAGTCATGAATGTTTGATTCGCTCAAAGGCCAAGTTAAGGTATTTTTTTAAAACTCTTCCTTCTCTTAATTAGTCGGCGAATAAACAAGTGGCACATTAGCTTTCGAAATAATTACACAGCGGCTGTATTCCAGCCTCTTTTGTTTGCTTTTATTTTCTTTTTTGTTCAACATAACTTCCCCAGCTTCGGTTTGCGGTAAAGAATTTAAAAAGCATTTTGAAAATTAGTTTGGTTTGAGATAACATTTAAAATGCAATTAAACTGTAAAGCTGGGAATTGGGTGAGGTAAATTTTGCGCTTATTTTGGTATTTATTAAGGATATCTTGTTCACTGATCTCAAAGTTACGAAGGTCAAAGTTCAGAAACAGAAAACGATTAAAAAATAATACCCGAGACACACTTCGTATTAAACGCAAACAGTTAAAACGAGAAAGATTCTCAAAAAAAGATTTCACAGAACAAAATGAGAAACCATAAAACTCTTAATAATCGTCTTATTCGAGCCAAATGTTCTCAACTTTCGTATTCACAGCCCCTTTGATTACTTTTTAAAGCCTTTTTACTCTCAAAAATTGCAAAGAGACATCCTCAAAGTCCAAAGCTGCTTGCTATCTTGTAATTGGATTCGTAAGGAGCAATTTCAACTTGGAATTGTAGAAAAATGCAAATGATAAAAAAATGCTCTTGATTTTTTCTTAGTAAGAGGACTTTTATAATTATGCTAATTGTTTTTAATAGAAACGATTTTATTTAAGACTGTTTAACACTAACTTGACATTGATACTATTGATCCAATTACAGCTTAGCCACGTGCTTTGTTTATCTTTGTAAATCAGACTATAACAAAACTATTCATACGTTGCTCTTTAGTCTTGTCAGGATAATAACCGTTGTCAGTCAGTCTGTATCAGAAATAAATATAGCAATGAATTATTTATCATCAACTTTGATTTATTTTCCTATATCATAATAACAACATCCTGTCAAGTCCAGCCTTGCTATATTTTCAGCGATAATTTGATTGATAGCTTCGTGTTTGTCTTTATCTATAACATTCACACTGAAACTCACAGATTTCATACCGGTGACATCACAACTACCTACGAATATAATCCTTAATCACAAATCCGCTTATTTATCAGGTACCTTTCAAAACATTTCACCGTTCCGTTTCAATAAAACAAAAACTAACAGATATAAAACTAACCGTCCAATCTCTCGAAACCAATTCTTCGTACAAGATTCAAGACTTCAAGTATTCCATCCACACAACTTGGGGAGGAAATCTAAGCGGTCCATAAGGAAAGGGGGGTAGTGGAGTGGGGGTTAGGTGTCGCTGCCCGGGGGGACTGAATCAAGGAGTGCTACGTGCTTTGAGTTTAATTAAGGATCTGGATCTTAGAATGCTTCGATTTTAGTGGCGTTTTCTTTTAATACCTTAAACGTTTTATTAAATAGAATTGTGTGAGGAGGTGAGTGCTTTATGTGGATGTAATATTAATTACTTTGGTTACTCGGTGAGAAGTCTTTGTGAAATTGTCTTGGTGAAGTTTTAATATTGAATATCGTTATCGTCTGGGGTGTGATTCTGTAAGACTTCATTCGAAATAAACTTCGAATCTGAATCCGCTGTGAGAAGTAGTACACTAGCGCTACACTTGCGAGTTGAACTAAATTGACAGCAACATATTGATAGATAAAGTATGAGATGACGTAAAAAGTGGCATTCTAAAATTTAATCACCCCGTCGTTAGATTATCGTTAGATTCAAAATCAAACAAATTTTATAGAATCGACGTGCTGGTCTACGCAGTCTTAGACAAAATGTGTGGTCAGGTCCTTGAGAAATTATTAAAACGTTCACGTCCTATCATGTAAGCTACACTATAAATTGAATACTCAATATTTGAGGATCAGATTACTCAACTTTTAACGCCTTTCTTAGATACGATTTAAATCTACAATTTTCATCACACCCACTAGTATTCCCACGTCGATTCCCGAAAAAAGACAACATCGCAAATCCAGATTTGTATTTTATATTTTTCCACACGCAACCTGATCTCACAGGGGACGCGAGCAGAAAAAAAATCAGTTTCGCGAGATTTTTTTCTCACGCGAAAAAATGACAGTTGAATTTGTATGCCGGGAGGTCGCCTCACTCCCATATAATATTAGACGCTCCCAAGAGAGGAGGATAATTAAATTAATGTCCTCA